GGAAGTGGATAGATTAAGATCACATTTCATTGTGAAAATTTAGAACTTTAAAATGTTTGCTGTCATCTAGTTCTAGGTTATCTCTGGATAATTAATTTCACAGTATTTCTGTCATCTTATTTCCTCAAATGCAGCCTCTTTTTCTAGCTTTCTTCTTAGCATTTTCCCATGTCCTTTACTCCCACTTAGTGCTCATTCCTGGGCCCTTGATCACTGCACGTTTGTTACATGGTCCAGTTTGCTGCTTCCTGGAAGACCATCTCCTGCCTGTAATGCCTCTGAGAATAAAGTCTTTCCAAAGCCATTAATATTCAGAAGGAGCCACATAGTAGTACTCAAAATGTATTCATTCAATGAATGAATGAATTCTCCTAACCACATTACTCATCAAATTGTCTACAGTGGTTTTTTTCCTTTTAATCTTGTATATAGTCCCATAGGAGATAAGAAAGTTGACTCACAGAAGGTAGAAATATATTACCTAAGCAAATCTAGAACCTAAAAATAGGGTGCATTCTAACAATAGATTGTAGCAGATGGTTCACCAATAATAACCAACTCTCGCTCTTCTCACCTTCACATAATAAGAAATGACACACAAACTGTCTTTAAAATTGCTTATCATCAATAAGGGGAAAATGAATCAAAGAAAAAGAGACAATCAGTGCTTTCAAGAGACACTTCACATGTCAGTTCTAGCTACTTAGAGGGCTGAGATTGTGGAAACTGGCAAAAAAAATTTTTTTAATCTTAACCGCTTAAATGGTTAGCAGTGCAAAAGTATATTTAAAACAGCCAGATTTAAAGTCATTGCAGATTTAGGGTATTTGTGATCAAGATCTTACCATGTATCCACTGTTGGTGTTATACAGGTTGGTGTGCTTTTTATCTGCTGTTTCTTTTATTCAGTGATTGATTGATTGATTTTTAGCAGTTTAAAACAATAGACATTAATTATCTTGAAGTTTCTATGGCTCAGGAATCTGGATACAGATTAGCTGGGTGCCTCTGGCTCAGGGTCTTTCTCAAGGCCATCATTAAGGTGTTGGCTAGGGCTGCCCAAGCAAGGAATTCTAATTTTAATAGAGAACGCAATAGCCAGGAAATTAATCAATGCATTAAAAAAAAAAAAAATTAGAGTGTTTTGTTTTGTTTTGTTTTTGCCAGGATCTCACTACGTTTCTCAGGCTGGACTTGAAGTCCTAGGCCAAAGGGGTCCTTCCCCCGGCCTCAGCCTCTCTAGTACCTGAGACTATTGTCCTGCCCCACCAGGCCTAGCTTAATTAGTGCAGTTTGTGTGTTTGTTTGTTTGTTTGTTTGTTGAGACAGAATTTTTGCCCAGGCTGGAGTGCAATGGTGAGATCTCGACTCACTGCAGCCTTTGCCTCCCAAGTTCAAGTGAGTCTCCTGCCTCAGCCTCCCCAGCAACTGGGATTACAGGTGCCCACCACCATGCTCAGCTAATTTTTTGTATTTTTAGTAGAGACAGGGTTTCGCCATGTAAGCCAGGCTGGTCTCAAACTCCAGAACTCAGGTGATCCGCCTGCCTTGGCCTCCCAAAGTTTTGGGATTACAGGCGTGAGCCACCGAGCCCGGCAATTAGTGCAGTTGTAAAAGCCACAACAAGGCCAGGTGCAGTGGCTTATGCCTGTAATCCCAGCACTTTGAGAGGCAGAGGCGGGCAGATCACCTGAGGTCAGGAGTTCGAGACCAGCCTGGCCAACCTGGTGAAACCCTATCTCTACTAAAAATACAAAAAAAAAAAAAAAATTAGCTAGGCATGATGGCGCATGCCTGTAATCCCAACTACTCAGGAGGCTGAGGCAGGAGAATCTCTTGAACCTGGGAAGTAGAAGTTGTAGCGAGCAAAGATTATGCCACTACATTCTAGCCTAAGTGACAGAGTGAGACTCTGTCTCAAAAACAAATAAATAAATTAATTAATTAAATAAATAATGAAAATCCATGACATATAGACAAAAGTTAATAATATTTCTAAATAAGCAATATTATCTCATTTGTAAAAGTGAAGAGTATTAAGAATATTTTAAACAAGTTCTCAGTACACTATTAATTCCAAAACAGTAATGCCCAAGGGAAGAGTAGAGGTACAGATTTTCTGAAATAATTGGGCTCCAAAGTCATTTCAACTCTACTCCAGAATGCAGCGTTATCACATGAACTTAACCCCTCCTCCTCTCAAACCCACCACAGCATTGCCCTAACTCAGAGGTTGAAGATAAAACAGTTAACCTATCCAACTAGCCCCTATAGCTCCTGCCCTCACTCTGGCCATTCCCACCTCTTCAGTGTCATCACACTCCCTGCTCCCTCGGTGGCCCCTCGAAACCAACCTACGTCTTCCCACCTACAACCTTTGCACATACTGTTCCCTCTGTCTTGGCTGTTCTCCCCACTTCACTGCCTATTCTATCTATTTGACTCATAATGATCCCTCGGACTTTATCTCAAAAGTTTGTTCCTCAGAGCTGTGCTTAGGTTTCCCACAGCCCCTTATACACGGTATTTTTCCTTTAGGGCACTTAAAGCCTGTATAAAAGAAGGCTTTCCACAGAGTCAGCCTTTTGCCCTTCCATCCCTTCTGCTGTGTGATGTACATAGCATTCTTAGAAGCAGAGATGGAGCAGCGTCCTCACCTGACACCAAAACTGCTGGGCCCTTGATCTTGAACTTCCACCCTGCAGAACTGGGAAATAAATCTCTATTATCTATAAATTTCCCAGTCTAGGGTATTTTGTAATAACAGCACAAACAGACTAAGACACTCTCCTTCTGTCATTCATTTCCTCCAAGACCTAACCCTATTGACTTTTGCTGTTTCTGTGAAGTCAGAGTTGGGGGAAAGAACATTGGAGGTAACTTCTCACTGAAGTCCACCTACCAACTTAAATTTCATAATTTAAATTATTGAGGTAATTTAAATCAAATTATTTAGTTTTTACTCTGGCTTCTAGGAAAGACGAGAGGCTGACTTTTCATTCCATAAGAAAGTCAGAATGCTTCAGTTTTGTATTATCTATTTGTCTGGATTATCTTAGCCATTATTACAGATAATTGTGACCTGGTCACACAGGGGCTTTCCATTTTAAGTTTTTGTGAAAATGATGCTTGTCAAAATGGATCACTTCTTATGAGAGTCAAGCTGTATGAAAATCAACAATAGCTAACTGTATTCTACTTACGTTGATACTATGAGTGCTCTATAATTATTTTTTTAAGTTGGTTACCTGTTATTCATTCATCTACTCATTCCTTCAGCAAATACTTACTGATGACCATCTTTGTGCCATGCATTGTCCTAGCGTCCAGTATACAAAGATCAATGAGGGTTTCCCCATAGCCTAAGGAGTCCACAGTCTTATAGAACAAATGCATCTTGCTTATACTCAAAAGAAAAAAGAGACATTTTCGGATCAGAAGATAGAAATTATCTTTAAAAATCCTCACTGTGCTTTGAATAGTAAAAGTTATCAAAGTGAACTTTGATGATGCGACACCATCTTATTCTTAGGAGTAAGCAAAAGAGGCACAAAGATGAGCCTGTATTTTCAGAGACACCCACCACTATGCCTATGAAAGTCTGCAATATCTCCCAGGAAGGCTTTTTTTTTTTTTTTTTCCTCTCCTTGACACAGAGTCTCCCTCTGTCTCCCAGGCGGGAGTGCAGTGGCACAATCTCAGCTCACTGCAATCTCCGCCTCCCAGGCTCAAGTCATCCTCCCACATCAGCGCCCCCACTCCCCCTCCCCCTAGTAGCTGGGATTACAGGCGCAAGCCACTACACTCAGCTAATTTTTGTATTTTTTTAGTAGATATGGGGTTTTGCCATGTAGCCTCAAACTCTTGGCCTCAAGTGACCTTCCCACCTCAGCCTCCCAAAGTGCTAGGATTACAGGTATGAACCACTGCACCCAGCCCCCAGGAAGCTTTCTAAGAAATGACATCTTTCAGGGAAGTTTTACTTGTGGTTGTAACTGTGGTCCTATCTGAAGACTAATGAAACACTAACGAGGTTTTTATAAGTTCTTTACTACAAAACCAAATGACCACCCAAAGGTACGCCTAGGGCTTCCCATTTGTTTTGGGGATCCCTAAGACCACCCACATGTCCAGTGATTCACCAGAAGGACTTGTGGGAGTCAACATATATTTATCCACAGAGTATCTATTCATGAGCGCATCAGAAGCATGTACATGAATTTCTCCAGATTCTGGAGCATTATCCACCTAAGAGTTCCTTTCTCTACCAGCAAAAACTGCAGTAATGTATGTACAGCTTCTGCCTGGGGAGACCGATTAGAAAGAAATTCAGCATCCAAAGTTTATATTGGGGCTGGTCATGTGGGCACACTTTGCTTGGCAATTAAAAATTCCAGACTACCACAATACAGTAGATATTCACTATAAATTGTATTGCTTGTACGGATTAGGCACAGTGAATCTTCCTTATCTGTTAGGAAATGGAGAGAACATTCCAAAGGCCACGTTCTCAGATGCCAGTCAAGGACTAAATTTGCAAGCATGCCCTTCTTAAGAGTAGTAACCTTGGGCTTGCTATATTATTTCTTCTCTGCACACCGTGTTTTAAATCTTCTGTTAGAATATATGCTGTAGGAAATAGAAAAGTTAACTTTTATTTCTCTTTGTATACATGGCTCAGGAAAATGAGGCTAACCTCAATTTTTAGGTACTGTTATCATGAAAGTTATTTCTAACCATTATCATGTTTAGATAGATATTACCGTTACTAATAGTATTATTGCTGCCAATTTTAGTAGTAATTATTAGTAGTGGTGACAATACGATTAATTTTTATAGTTAATATAGTATATATTATTTTACAGAATATTCATATGTTAGTAATATATTCACTGATCTTTAACAAATCTTTGAAAGATTTTAACATGCTGAGATCATGAAAATTTAAAGAGATTCTTTGTTTGGTTCCTTGTCCTCTAATATGTTACATTTTTTAACAGGACAAACTTACTGCAACTTGAAGGAGCCAACCATGGATTTGAGGCGCGTGAAGGAATATTTCTCCTGGCTTTACTATCAATACCAAATCATTAGCTGCTGTGCTGTTTTAGAGCCCTGGGAGCGATCTATGTTTAACACCATCTTACTAACCATTATTGCTATGGTGGTATACACTGCCTATGTCTTTATTCCAATCCACATTCGCCTGGCTTGGGAATTTTTCTCAAAAATATGTGGATATCACAGTACCATTTCTAATTGATCTTGTTCACGTTCAGTGAAATGGCATTGCATATTTATATATTGCTTACAACTTATTGATTTAGGTAACTATTGTGTCTTCCTTCACTATCTGACCTGAAAAGCACTCTCTTCTCTATGCACTCATATTCTGCCTTTCTGCCTGGAGTTTGAAATAGATGTCTCTTTAGTTTCTTTCGCACATGCTACATTGTGCATCAGACCATAGATAATACAATGACTTTACCTCACAAATCAAATTCTCTCAACACAAATCTATGAATTTACTTTATTTAAAATCAGAACAATTTCCTACAAAATTTTTTTTGGAAAATAAGCTCATAACAGACCTACTAGAATCATACTTAAAGTACTCCCTTGACACTTATTCTATACTGAAGGGTAAATTTTTAAAATTCTTTTTAGGCTACTGTCAGAAGTATCCTATCTTTGTTTATGATGTATAAAAAGATGTGAATAAATTATATGGAACCCCTAAGTCTTATTTTCTAGTAAACTGATGATACTGGAAATTCTTTTACTTCAAATACAAAAGAATAAGCTGGAGGCAATTATTTCCTTTCATACACAGTTCATGAATTGTTTTAAATGCTTCTTAAAGTCTGGCTTTATAACCGTTTAAAATCAACAATGTTGATTTTAGATAACCAAGTAAGTATTGTAATACAAAATAATTTTAAGTGTAGGAAACTAAAGTATAATCAAAGTAAATTCAGATATTGTGATTTGTGGTATTGCCTTGCCTTGCATAATGCTGGGGGGAAAAGAGAAAGGAAATTGTTTTCTTTTTGTGCTTTTATTCAGCGGAGGGGAAAAAAGCATGTATTGGGCCACAGGAAGAAAAGCTAATAAGTAGGCTGGAAGTAATATTCTACCAGCAGGAACTCAACAGCTCCAGTTAAGTGCTTTGATATAGTGGCTCTTTTGCAGAGCCAAAACAAGATTTATTAAATTTCCTTCAAAGTGTTTATCTTTAAAACAAATATAAGGTTTTAATTATACTGCTGAAGTGAATGTGAATGCCAAAGACTAAGTTTTACAGTTTTGCTTTCCTCCCAATAAATATTAATGTATGTAATTCTAGAGGGTAAAAATGTAAATAGGTTTGAACAATATTTGCACCCTTGTTTGTGTTATGAAAAAATTTTTTCCAAGGCGAGCTGGAGAGAAAGATGTTTGGCATGCCAAATTAACTTGCATGTTTGTTAAAAAAACAAACACATGTTTTGAAGAGAAACCAGATCTGAACATGTATTTGTTGAGTTTTGCAAAATAAAATTAATTTTGTAAGTAAATATCTACTTCCAGATTTACTTTTTTTTTTTCATATTGCACTAAATATCTAGACGGTACATTGCATATTTCTCCCTAGCATATCATTTTTTACTAATCCAATGTGGTAACGGGTCTTAAAATGGTAACAAAAACCTAACATTTATCAAGGGACTTCTCCATGCTGGACACATTTTCCATGTTGGAGTAGGTGCAAAGATCTCCTACTTACAGGTAAAGAGCCTGAAACTTGAAAAGGTTACATTTCTTATTCAAGGTGGATTAGCTACCAGTAGCATAGCAAGGATGCAAATCCAGGTCAGGACCACACCAGGCCCTGCAAATATTTTGCACACGAAAGCCCAGGGGAGGACAAAATGAACAAATGAAAGTTGATGGGATGAGTGTCACCAACGTTTGAAAGTATAACTCCATCAAATAAAAAGAAGAGCATTAGGAGACAGCCAAGGTTGGAGGAATGATAAGCCGAGGTCCCAGCTGTCACTTTTTTTGCTGTACCTAGGATGCTGTGTTCACCCATTTCTATGCTTCCAAGGCCCACGTGCCTATTTTGAAAGATTGCTTTCACTTCTAAATATTTAAAGAGAATTCTCAGTTAAGCATGAACTTGGATGCATTCCCAGTTCATAATGATTCAACACCCTTATATACATGGACCCCTGCTAAGCACTCTTGGAATTCAATCACAAAGATACGGCATTGACCTTCTCAAAAAATCCTCCGTCTAAAAATAAGAGAGTTAAAATAAACATGAATAGACACAGCAAAACTTAATAAAAGATTATTGCACACCACCACCCCAGGATGTCACTTCGAAGGTGTTTCTTATGAGCAGTCAAAATAATAATACAGCGTCCAAAAAACATAATCAAAAATAGTTTGGGGGAAAAAAAACCTATCAGCGTGTAGTGGGAAAGAAGAGTAAGCATTACTTTCCCTGCCTGCTAAGTTTATTTTCTAGATATGGCAGAGACATTCTTTACCTTGACCACAGTTTGCCTAGATTAGAAACACTTTTCGTGTGTCTTTCCTTTGCTTCCATTACTTAGATATTTCAATGATGTGTACAGAACTTTAAAAACAAGAAAGGCCAAAGGTGCCATGGTCCCAGTGAACTTGCATTTGTCACTCACCAAACAAGAAATTGTAAAATGTTCTTTCCCTGGCATTGGCCAAGTCAATAATTACTTTTATCTGCTTGTGCAACAAAAAACACAAAATGTCAACATATCAGGCAGTTTAAATATCAAGATAGGACTAACCAATCTTCATTAAGTTATTTGCGGGAAAAAAAAATCACTCATCCGCATTTTCTGTTTTTTTCTTCTTCCATCACAAATATATTTAGATCCTCTTACTGGAGTGATCCCCAGTAAGATTTGTCCTTATTTCTGAATCTGCTGATACAGAGCTTAGCAAACTCCCACCCAAGAGGACATTATGTAGCTCCTTCTACCCTGTGACCACACAAAAACAAAGAAGCTCAGTGTTTGTATTGGGCCAACCTCAAGATGGACAGCTCCTGGCTATGGACCAAAAGAGTAACACTCATTCATTCATTCAACAAATTTATTAAAAGTCAACCATGTATTGATGGATAGATACAAGGATAGAAAAATGAAAACATATGTGATGAAGAACATATAACAATAGAAACTAGATGCTAGGTATACAGGCATTCATTGCAAAATTCTGTTAACATTGTGTTTGAAGTTTTTTACTTAAAAACATAGGGAATAAAATCCTTCCACGTGCTAGTCTTTGGGCTTCGTACTAGAAAATGAGAATGAATGAGACAGAAGCAGAAACATCTCTGGATTTATTAATGATACTATCTGGTAGGCAAGATAACAACAACAAAAAAAAATTCAAGCAAGCAAAATATTTATGAATTGTGATAAAGTTAAAAAAAAAAAACCACTAGTGTGCTAGAAAGACAGAGACAGGTGACTGGGGATGATGAAGCCCTTGGGGCAAAGGGAACATAGTTCTTCCAGCTGCAGTAGAGCAGGATTCAAACTTCTCTAATTGAGGGACTGTAAGCAGGGGGATGATGTGGAAGGAATGTGATGTCATTTATACTGTAAGATGATGGCACTGGCTGTGGTGTAAGAGTAGATGGGACAGAGGCATGATTTACCACCATAACCTGTTTCAGACCATGATCCAAGTCCCTCATTCTTTCTGGAACCTCAAGATGGCATATAAGCATCTGTACCCACTTCGGGGTGTTGGGGTAATCATTCTATGATTCTTCTCCATGCACATTAATAAATTTGTCTGCCATTTCTCCTATTAATCTGCCTTTTGTCAGTTGATTTTTCAGTGAATCTTCAGAGGCCAAAAGGGACGTTTTCCCTTGGCCCTTACGCTGTCAAAATGTAACCCCCTGAAACCCTGCTTATCTCTCGCACCTTACCATGCAAATGCAATACCTTCCTCCCAGTCCTGAGTTATATTTACCTGGGCCAGAGAAGGTACCCGGCTTCAAAGAGGGAAAAGAGAAGTTCATCACCCACATAGCATATTCTGTACCTTTCAGGTGTTGGTTGCCTCAGAATTATGCAAGTGTTCCTTCTGAAGAGCACAGAGAACCACAGCACATGGTTTTTTGCACCACATATTCTCATAAAAACTCACTAAACGAATGGATTGATGAACAAATTAAGCCCTTTTACAACTCCAGAGTAGAGGCATTGAGTCATATTCCAGACATGATTTTCACTAGCATTTTTATGAAGTCACTCACCTAAGGTGAGTTTTTAAACATCTGGTGAAGGTTTTGAGAGACCTTTGTCCCTCTCTTGTATTCTCCTACCCATTATTCCTTCTCTCCTGCTCCTATTTATTCTCACAGCAATCCCCACATGAGCATTTTTTTAAAAGGGAGGACTTTTTTAAAAAGTTCTGTAAAGATCTGCAACTGTTTTCTCCTCAAGTACTGGACCATTTGTTCTCAGCTCTGGTTGTACATTAGAATCGTCTGGGAGCTTTAAAAACTACCAATGCCTGGCCCTGACCAGAGAAACTAAATCGAAACCCCCAGAAGGGAGCGCCCAACATAGTAGTTTTTAAAACTCCCCAGATAATTCTAATACTTGGCCAAGATTGAGAACCACTTTAACAGGCTTTTAGTGAATGCTGATTAAATCACTAAAATCCAGCATCAAACTGGATGCTCCTCTGTACCTTCCCACTTGCCAGGCTTGTCGAACATGTCTATAATATGATTAAGGCACTACTCTTTCTCTAGATATGGTCTTGATCATAACAAACAGCGCTTCCTTACTGTTTTTCAGTAAAAGTACTCAACACTCCCATAGAAGCTTGAAGTGCTTAATAGTTAGCATCACGCTCCCCGCTACATTTTGTTTCACTTAATGATGTCTTCAATCATTTCATCATGCATCATTTAAAAGCAGTAAAATATCACAAATTGTGCTTACAGGCATGAAGCTCTAAAGAACACTCAGTCTGCTGCTGATGAGCTTGGTGGAGCACTTTCATTTACAACCTGAGTACAAGATCGTGTCACAATAATTTGGTTAAGTCAGATAGATAGTACCATCAGCACCGCTGCGGAGCATGCAAATCTGTGCATTTCACAATAATATCACAATAGGGCACCTCATGGATGAAAGAGTGTACCTTGCTTCCTTTTGTTTTCAATTACTTGCAGTTATATGTATTTATTTCAACAAACCTATTTGGACCCAGACTTGGCTCCAGAACGGGTGTGGGTTTTTTGTTGTTGTTGTTTGTTTGTTTAAGATTTAGGGGGTACATGTGCAGGTTGGTTACACGGACATGTGGATGTAATGAATATATCGCATAATGTGCTGAGGTTTGTGCTTGTATTGAACCCATCACCCAAACAGTGAACATAGTACCCAAATGGTAGTTTTTCAACCCTTGCCCTCCTCCCTCCTTCCCTTCTTTTGAAGTCTCCTGTGTCTATTGTTTCTCTCTTTATATCTGTGTATACCCCTTGTTTAGCTCCCACAGATAAGTGACAACATGTGGTATTTTATTTTCTGTTCCTGCATTAATTCGTTTAGGATAATGGCCTCCAACTGCATTCGTGTTACTGCAAAGGACATAATTTCATTACTTTTTATGGCTTTGTAGTATTTCTTGGTGCATAGGTACCACATCTTCTTTATCCAGTCCACCATTGATGGGTATCTAGGTTGATTCTATAACTTTGTCATTGTGAATAGTGCTGCAATAAATACACAAGTACATGTGTCTTTTTGGTAGAATGATTCATTTTCCTTTGGGTACATACCCAGTAATGGGATTGCTGGATCAAATGGCAGTTTTATTTTTAGGTCTTTGAGAATACTCCAATCTGTATTCCACAGAGGCTGAACTAATTTACATTCCAACCAACAATGTGTAAACGTTCTCTTTTCTCCTTATCCTGACCAACATCTGTCATTTTTTGAGTTTTTAATAATAGCCATTCCAACTAGTGTGAGACGGTATCTTATTGTGTTTTAATCCACATTTCTCTGATGATTAGTGATGATGAGCATTTTTTCATATTTTTGTTGGTCACTTGTAGGTCTTCTTTTGAGAAATGTCTGTTCATGTCATCGCCCACTTGTTAATGGGTTTTTTTTTCTTGTTGAATTGTTTAAGTTCCTTAGAGATTCTATATATTAGACTTTTGTCAGGTGAATAGTTTGCAAATGTTTGTGGCAGAAAATTTTAGTTAGAAACTAAGATAAACAAGTGATATGGATAATGGAAAGATAATCACCCCTCAGAGAGTAGAATGACCTGAGTTCTTCTTGCTCTGCCTACCTGTGTGTGCCCTTGGACAAGGGACTTCACTTCTCTGGGATCCAGTTTCTCTGCTGTGAAAAGAATGACTCCTCTGGAAATAGCATATGTGTTTTTCTCTTATTGGTTCTTGTGATCACTGGCAGGGCCACCCTAGAAGGTCATGCTGTTAAGAACTTTGAAGCTATACCTGCTCATTGGAAAGAATGCCATTATGAAC